TCCTTTGTTTCTTATTTTATCCGGTTATGCGCATTCATATCGCCGTGACGCGATTTATTTGCGCCAATGGCGTAAACGCACGGGTCACTGGGTCGCGAAATTCGTTGGAACTTTGCGTGGTGCTGCGCGAAACTCACAGCTGCCACATGAATGCAATAGTAGTAAAGCTATCAGGTGTAATGGCAACAGAATAACGATGTAACACGAAAGATAGAGTGAAAATATTATTGCAAGATAAAGAGAAATCGAGACGGTCTTAAAATATTTTCAGATTGTTTTTTTAAGCACCAAATACATGCATTTTTAATGTGCTGTATAAGAATATTACAAGTGAGTGTAAAATTAAACAAAAATGACCTGATGTGCAAACAATATACTTTACTTATTGTGTCATTCATGATGTGGAAAAAATGGTTTATCCCTGCTTTTTAAAATTAATTAAACTTGTTTACTACAAAGGTTAAACCCTTCAAAGCTTTACGATAAAACAATAAAAATATTTGGCGACAACATCGCCCATACAGAAAGAAAAAGAAGTCAAATAAAATCACAGGATGCGGAATGAAACGTGACTTGTGTTCTCGTTCTTACGTTAACCTTTGCACCCTTTGATGCATCTTCCGCTCCCGCCATCCCGTCTCTCCAGCTTTACCATCCGCTCGCTTTTGCCTCCTTTGACCTCTAATTCGACGAGCAAGATTCACCGTAGCGTGTGTGCCATTAACCCAAATAATTTTGAGCTCGAGAGTCTCCATGTCGAATTTCCCTTTACCTCCACTTCCTTTGCGCTCATCTATATTTTTTTTCTCTTATTGAAAAAATGACCAGCACCATATTGGCTTAACAAGAGAAATGTGTGTATTATAACATTTATATGTTATAACAATAGAATATCAGAAGATGTATATTTAAAAGGTCAACAAATAAATCAACCGCACGATTACTATTATTATTATTCTTCATTTTAAATTTAGTTTTGCTATATTAACATTAATTATACTTACTTAAATACTACTATACTTTTTTCGAACACGTACATTTCCGAATGTTTTAATTGAACTTGTTAATCAGGTCTAATAATTATTTTACGATGTGTTTAAGAATCATTCTTTTATTCGGCTATTGCTTTCGCAACGTTACAAAACGGTCTAATTCCTTATCGTTAGCGAAATAACCCGAATCGCTCAGTGCATCACCGTGTGCATCGAGCTGTTACTTCGTGGCGGATTGCCGGTTGTGCAGGAAAGGTCCGTTAAACGTTCGCGTGTAAGTTTGAAAGTCAATTGGTCTGGATTCGCGTAAAGTTTCTACGTTACTTTTGACGGGAAAAGGGAGGAAAGAGTTGAGTACGTTCCCGCGATCGAGGTTCTCTCGTCAAATATCAGGCGTAGTGTGACCCGCCCGATTGACTCTAGCAAACCTAACGAAACTTCCGCGACAAAGAGAACAAAAAATTACGATTTATAACTTCGACGATCAGAATTTTCTAGCGTATCCGCAATCTGGATGCATGCAGGCACGTGAATTGAACCGATAAGATAAGAAGAGGATAAGCAGAAATCTATTTTAGTTAAAAAAAATTTCTTTTATATATGATAATCGACTAAATTTCTCACTATTTATTATTATAATTTAATATATATGTATAATATAATATAACATAAGCTTATATCTATTAATAAGATTTGTCTAGATTTTGTGTTGTTCAAAATTTGGTAGTGCATACATTTTTAATGTGTGCAAAATTTTTAAAGCTAATTGAAATATAATATAATCGATAATAATTAAAAATAAGATATTAATGATTGCCAACTAAATTATAAATGCTATTATATACATGTAATCTTATTAATAACATATTATGGACGAACCTTGCACAGCCAAATAAAACATTGTACAGTTATTACGTAAATATTACGTACTTTTATGCAACTATTTTAGTACTTTTCCGCTGAGTTATTCTTATCCCATATTATATTAATTTTATCATAATTTTAGTAGTGGTATCGAGTTTCCGCAAACTCAATCGGAAATTGTATAGCTTGTTTCATAATTTTCTGAGTTATTGCAAAAATTTAATTATATACGGGGGGGGGGGGGGTTCGGTTATATTA